CTATATACAATATATATATATATATATATATATATATATATAATAAATTGTAATATTTTAATTTATTTTAATGTATTTATTTATTTTTTATTTCGCTGAAATATTCCATCACATTTTATATCCAGTTGCAGTTTAAAATTATATTGACATATCTTTTCCAGTGTCATTTTGGACTTGGTTCAAATGTGCTGTGTGTGTGTTGCCTTTCAAACTGGCCTGAATATTCCAGTAGCCAGTAGAGCAGAAGTCATTCTGAAAAGCAAAGAGACAAAAAATAAATAAACATAATTAATTATTAATTCATAATAATTATTATTCATTATTTCTTTCAGTGTATATATATAATTTTGATAATTTAATGATTCAAATATTAGAATCAATTAATTAATTAATACAAATAATTTAAGAAATATGAATAAAAATGTAACGCCTAAGTTAGTTTTTAAATATACATCAATAGATATATTGTTCAAAACATGTATTTCAGATAGTTTTTAGTTGTCAAACATACATTGATAATGTGATCAAATATTTTACAAGAAAATACGATTTCTCTTTTTTTCGTAAACATTTGACATTTAATTCAATGTGAGTGAAAATTGTTTCTTCACCAAATTGTTCAGTGTGTGAACTTGAATAGAACTGACTTGCATCCACTAAAAATCACCTTTACACCAGCTGGATAAAAGTAATAAAAAAGTTACAAAAAAAAAAATTTGCGGATGGGACTTAAGCATTTAAATTCATACATTTTTAAGTGTGACTCATGTCGAGAGATTTTTTTTGGCTGCTGTCCCTGTGTTCGTATTGCCAAGGAAGGAAATGACAAATCCCATGTTAACAACCCAGGCTTTTAGTAAACAGTGCAGATGAACGTTGCCCTTGTTTGATCAGAAGTGCACTGCAGAGGGCTTCTTTTTAAAGCACTGTTAGGCAGGATGTGTTTTCTCTGCTCCTAAATGGCAACGGTCTGATTGTCTCTGTAGTGTGTTGTTCAGTATCAGTGCTGTGCTCAGTTTTCACTGTGCCGTGTGAGCTTTCCCGTAAGATGCTTGTAAAGGTCAGAGCAGCAGGAGTTTCTGAAAGTTCAGCGTGTCGAACAGACGAACCCCTGACTGTTGATCTGCTGCTGTTTGGACTCTATGGTTTTTAACAGACTCGCTGTTCTTTGTCTGCATCCTTACAGCATTTGTGTTTCAGCATGAAGACAAACTAAACTCAACAAAACATGTTTGAACAGATTTATTTTTTTTATTTGTTAAATATGTATATTACCATTTATTTACTGCACATTAAAAGCATGAAGAGATATTCTCTAAGTTGCATTTAAGAGAGATCCTGTTGCACTGTGGAGAATATTTATTCTTAGACACCAGTAACTATTTTCGGCAGGTCGACAGATCCAGGTCAGTCTTGTCTGATATGATGCATATCTATGCATATGTATACATCTGCATGCATTACTTGGCAAGTAATTGCCTGTAATACATTAATTGCGCACTCTTTATTGTCATCTGAATGATAGCGTATGTACCAAGCTGTGCCTTCAAGCTCATCTGAGTGTGCAGCTGAATTGTTTTGGGCTTGCTTCGTTCAGTGGCGTGTAGAGAGCAGGTGTGTGTCGCTCTCTGCTGAGCTGGCAGTGATCTCATGTTGGCTCAGATGTCGAGTGTTGATGTACACTCCCGAGCCGTCAGTCTGATCGCTGCCTCATCTTCTGATCTGTCCATCTTCAAGTCCATCTGCACATGAGACGGCCGTCTATGAGCTCATTTCTTCACGTGTAAGGATGTGTCGTTTAGGGATTTAGGGAAGATGAATATTAATTGAATAATTGTGAATCAGGTAATGCTTTTAAATTATGATTATGAGTCAGGCAGTGCTTTTAAAATAAAACTGGAAAGAAAATATAAAACTGGAGGGGAAAAAAAATGATTTTATTGCACAAGCTGGTGATGTTCAAATTTTTATTTTTAAATGTGCATTTTTTGTGTGTTGTTATTGATAACTAAAACTACTGTATTAAAAAGTTAATTTTCATGATTGAAATGAAGCTGAAAAAATATAATGTAAATTATGAAAAACTTGAATGAAAATGAGGAATGGTGCCTTGGAGCGGAAATAAAACATGCAATTAAAATATATTTTAAAAATTACAAAAGCACAACAAATATACTAAATCTTAAACTAAAATAAAAATAGAAACTAGTTACTTATATAGTTTTTATTAATATTTGTATTATTAAATTAGGTTTTAATTTTAGTTAAAGTTTTAGTAATTTAGTTGTGTGCACTTTTTAAAATGTCTATATAGTTTTTTTTTATTAAATTTTATTTTAGTTGGTTAAAATAAGAATTATTATTTGCTTATTTATATTATATGCTTATTTATTTATTTATTTATTTATTTTCAGTTAACACCTATTTTATTTCAAGTAATGATTTTTTTTTGAATGGTTTTAGTTTTAGGTTCAGTTCTGATAATATCAATTTTTCTGATAATTATATTCAAATAAAAGCTAATTCAACATATAATAAATATTATAATATATATTATATAAATAATACTAAAATAAAACTGGCACCAGCTGTTTTTTATTAAAAATATATATTTTTCCAACCAGAATATTACACATAGGTTATGATAAGGTTTTTGGGTTTTTTTGTTTGTTTGTTTAAGTCAAATCTAATCTGACCATTAGAGAGCTGTCCTTTATTAATAGTGTTTATTAAGGGTAAGAATCACTCGTACTTTGACTTAGGAATTTGAATAAACCTCTAACACTTAATACTTGTATAATCATCTGCTTGTAGACATGAATGATATCTCAAATCACGCAGCTTTATAAAAAGAGATGATGTTACTGTTCTGCTTGGTGGAAGATTAAACAGAAATCTAGGGTCCTCGTATCTTGGGTCCAGAATATCATAGTAGTAGTGGTTTCCTTTGTCTTCACCAGTGTTTTATGTTGTTGTTGTTGTTTTTTTATCAGCGTTGTAATAGCGTTACTCCAGCATTGTAAGTCATGGCCATCAAATGGAGGTTCTTCTCATGAGGCTTAGCAGCTTAAACACGACAGGCTTGAAAAACCAGAAAATGGGGTCTAAAGTCCAATCCTCTCATAATTGCATGCTAGCCAAAGGGATTTAGCTGTTAATGCGCTGGGGAAAAAACTGAAAATAACAGAAGGAGGGAAAGGCAGTGTGTGTGTGTGGATACATCACTCTCTCTCTCTCTCACACACACACACACACACACACACACAGTGCATTAAGTAAATGGACATGTATTGGTCCAGTTGTTGTTGTTTTTGTAGTGTTGTTAAAGTTGCAATCAAAGTATGGCTCACTGAACTTTTACAGCAAAACGAATCTGAAATCCTCACGAGTGATTTGTCTACCCGGTACAGTGAAGTGTTCATCTGTAGCGCCCTCTAGTGTTTCACTTTTTATTAGATCCCATCCTTATAGACCGCCATGGAATGATGTGATGAACATTTTTTAACATATATCCTATATAAAAAGGAATTCGAAATATAAAATTAAATATACATAAAATTAAATGTGTATCTCATTAAAATGTATATCATTATTATTATTATTAATAGTATTATTTTAGATGTTTATTTATATATATATATATATATATATATAATAGATATTTATTTAATATAATAATGTGTACTTAGTAATAGTGAGAGAAGACCCATTCATTTTAATGAAGAGAGAAAGCATTAAGCAAACATTTATGTTTATGTACATCTGTGAGCAGTAGATAATGTTATCAGTGTTTTTGTTTGTTTGTTTTTAGTTTAGAAGAGAATGTTTTGTTTGTTTGTTTTTAGTTTAGAAGAGAAGGTTTTGTTTGTTTGTTTTTAGTTTAGAAGAGAATGTTTTGTTTGTTTTTAGTTTAGAAGAGAATGTTTTGTTTGTTTGTTTTTAGTTTAGAAGAGAAGGTTTTGTAGGTTTTGTTTTAGTTTAGAAGAGAATGTTTTGTTTGTTTGTTTTTAGTTTAGAAGAGAATGTTTTGTTTGTTTGTTTTTAGTTTAGAAGAGAATGTTTTGTTTGTTTGTTTTTAGTTTAGAAGAGAATGTTTTGTTTGTTTGTTTTTAGTTTAGAAGAGAAGGTTTTGTTTGTTTGTTTTTAGTTTAGAAGAGAAGGTTTTGTTTGTTTGTTTTTAGTTTAGAAGAGAAGGTTTTGTTTGTTTGGTTTGTTTGTTGAAGAGAAGGTTTTGTTTGTTTGTTTTTTTTATGCTAAAATTATTTAGTTAACTTTTAGGAGTGCACTAGCATTATAGTGGATCTTATAGATAGATTTATATAATCCACAAATTACATTTTTTTTATTTCCTTTAATAAGCAGCTATTTTGTCACTGGAAAACCTCACTAATAAAGGGTGATGTTGTGAGGTTTTTGATGCCAAAGGTGCTGTCTTCCCTGTTATTTTGTGCACCGGTGCATGTGAATGTGTTCCCAGCATGCATCTGTGTAGCCATACATCCCACAGTCCACCTGACAGCTCCTCAGATTTAAAGGTTTGGTCTCTACAGCAACACATTGAAAGCTCTGCTGTTTTCTCAGACTCACTGCCCGCTTGGCAGGGCATGGCCACTTTTATGATCGCGTTTACCCCTCGAGCTCATTGTTAACAAGCCATCAGGAGCGCAGAGAAGCTGGTATGAACCGGATGGCCCAGTCTGGGCCCCTTGTGCTTTATACGAGCCGAGAGCCGCCTGCTGAGCGCTGCCCACCAGAGACCCCACTGAGACCCAGACAATACCCCAGCCCCGAGCCTTTACATAACACTGCACTCACTCACCCGCAGTCACATATCGGCCAGAAATCAGCCTCAGTCTTTCTGTCTTTCACACAGTTTTTCAGTGCAGAAATATTTGAGATGTTTCTTTGATTCGTAAAACCTATACATTAAAGAATGCATGCAACTGTACATTAAAGATAAATATTTGTAATCATTTATTTTATAGGTGAACACCAAAAGAAAGCAAACGATCATTCCATGAGTCCTGTTATTCCGAGGTACGTTATCAGAAAATATGAATGCATGAGACTTGTTTCCTGTGCAATTTATGTGTACTTTCCTTATGCAGAAATATTCAGATGTATAAAACCATAAATAGAGTGGACTGAAAATGCATTTGGGCATTTAAGCCTCACTTATAATTATACAACCAGACAAAAAGTTATATTACATTTTTAAATGTCAAGTAAGGGTTCGATTACATTTTGTAGCTCAGGTCATAAATACTTTGATACAGTTTTATTGTAGTCTCTTATAAAAAAAGAAGTACAATTCGGGATGTAATATGAAAATAATAGTAATTAAAATAGTAATAACTTACAGTAAGTTCAAACTGAATGTAATGTTTTCAGACACAAAATGTTGATTGCAAATGAAAATGTATTATAGTTTAATGTTTTTAGTTTAGAAGAGAAGGTTTTGTTTGTTTGTTTTTTTTATGCTAAAATTATTTAGTTAACTTTTAGGAGTGCACTAGCATTATAGTGGATCTTATAGATAGATTTATATAATCCACAAATTACATTTTTTTTATTTCCTTTAATAAGCAGCTATTTTGTCACTGGAAAACCTCACTAATAAAGGGTGATGTTGTGAGGTTTTTGATGCCAAAGGTGCTGTCTTCCCTGTTATTTTGTGCACCGGTGCATGTGAATGTGTTCCCAGCATGCATCTGTGTAGCCATACATCCCACAGTCCACCTGACAGCTCCTCAGATTTAAAGGTTTGGTCTCTACAGCAACACATTGAAAGCTCTGCTGTTTTCTCAGACTCACTGCCCGCTTGGCAGGGCATGGCCACTTTTATGATCGCGTTTACCCCTCGAGCTCATTGTTAACAAGCCATCAGGAGCGCAGAGAAGCTGGTATGAACCGGATGGCCCAGTCTGGGCCCCTTGTGCTTTAGACGAGCCGAGAGCCGCCTGCTGAGCGCTGCCCACCAGAGACCCCACTGAGACTCAGACAATACCCCAGCCCCGAGCCTTTACATAACACTGCACTCACTCACCCGCAGTCACATATCGGCCAGAAATCAGCCTCAGTCTTTCTGTCTTTCACACAGTTTTTCAGTGCAGAAATATTTGAGATGTTTCTTTGATTCGTAAAACCTATACATTAAAGAATGCATGCAACTGTACATTAAAGATAAATATTTGTAATCATTTATTTTATAGGTGAACACCAAAAGAAAGCAAACGATCATTCCATGAGTCCTGTTATTCCGAGGTACGTTATCAGAAAATATGAATGCATGAGACTTGTTTCCTGTGCAATTTATGTGTACTTTCCTTATGCAGAAATATTCAGATGTATAAAACCATAAATAGAGTGGACTGAAAATGCATTTGGGCATTTAAGCCTCACTTATAATTATACAACCAGACAAAAAGTTATATTACATTTTTAAATGTCAAGTAAGGGTTCGATTACATTTTGTAGCTCAGGTCATAAATACTTTGATACAGTTTTATTGTAGTCTCTTATAAAAAAAGAAGTACAATTCGGGATGTAATATGAAAATAATAGTAATTAAAATAGTAATAACTTACAGTAAGTTCAAACTGAATGTAATGTTTTCAGACACAAAATGTTGATTGCAAATGAAAATGTATTATAGTTTAAATTTATATTAAATGCAATTAGCTGAATTTCAGTGTTTTCCCTCAATTAAGTACATCATCCTTATATGTAATTTCATAATTACTTCTATTGTCTTTGAAATACGGTTAAAGTGTACCGTCGAATGTACTGGCAAGCATTTATGATAAACTGAAATATACTTTAATGTCATTTCTATTGAAACTTGTATGTCATGTTTAAATATATTTGTAATGAAGTTGCAATTTTGTACATGTAAAATCAATAAAAATAAATGATTTAAAATGTCAAATAACATACTACAGTTCAAATTGTTTCTTTTAATGTATATAAAAATGACAAAATTATTAGATTACAATGATTTGCAATGTACGTTAAAGTAAAACTTCCAAAATGCACTTTAAGTGTACTTAAATGGCCTTTTATTTCATTAATATTATATTGTTTGCAAGTACTGTTTATATTTACACTACCGGTCAAAAGTTTCGGATCAGAACGATTTTTAATGTTTTTTTACAGGAGTGTCTTATGCTCATCAAGACTGCATTTATTTGATCAAAAATACAGGAAAAAAATATAATATGGTGAAATATTATTATGATGTAAAATGATGTTTTTCTATTTTAATATACATTAAAATGCCATTTATTCTTGTGATGCAAAGCTGAATTTTCAGCATCATTCCTCCAGTCTTCAGTGTCACACAATCTTTGAGAAATCATTTGAATATGCTGATTTATTATCAGTGCTGGAAACTGTTGTGCTGCTTCATATTTTTTTGGGAACCTGTGATACTTTTTTCAGGATTCTTTGATGAATAAAAAGTTAAAAAGAACAGCATTTATTCAAAATATAAATCTTTTCTAACAATATACACTGCTTTTCAAAAGTTTGGGGTCAGTACATTTTTATTCTTTCTTTTTTTTTTTTGAAAGAAATTCACACTTTTGTTCAGTAAGGATGTGTTAAATTGTTAAGAAGTGATAGAAAAGATTTATATTGTTAGAAAAGATTTATATTTTGAATAAATGCTGTTCTTTTTAACTTTTTATTCATCGAAGAATCCTGAAAAAAGTATTGCAGTTTCCAAATAAATATTTAGCAGCACAACTGTTGCCAGCACTCATAATTCTAATAATAAATCAGCATATTAGAATGATTTCTGAAGGATCATGTGACGCTGAAGACTGAAGTAATGATGCTGAAAATTCAGCTTTGCATCACAGGAATAAATTAGATTTTAATGTATATCAAACTCCTGTAAACAACATTAAAAATCGTTCTGATCCCAAACTTTTGACCGGTAGG